CCGGCCTTCCCCTTCCGGCCCCGCTTCTCGGCCGGCTCCCCCGGGCTCCGTCCGGACCCCGCTCCCAGACTCGGCTCCCCGGTTCATTTCACAAGGCGTCTTCTCCCCAAGCCCTGGCCTCCAGGGGGATCTTCCCTTTTCTGGCTTCGCATTGCCCGTTGAGCAGCCTCGTCTCTCCGCACAGCCTTCTCAGCCGTGGTGTCTCCCGCCCGTCCCCTGAGCTGCCCTCCGCTGAGACCACCTCGCATCCCCGCTTTCGGCCCTCGGCCTCCTCCTCCGGCGATGGCTTCTGCAGGGCTGGAGATCTTGGGCATGGGGCTATGCATCTTTGGCTGGCTGGGCTCCATCATCTCCTGCACCCTGCCCATGTGGAAGGTGACGGCCTTCATCGGCAACAGCATCGTGGTGGCGCAGATCATCTGGGAGGGGCTGTGGATGAACTGCATCGTGCAGAGCACGGGCCAGATGCAGTGCAAGGTCTACGACTCCATGCTGGCCCTGCCCCAGGACCTGCAGGCCGCCCGCGCCCTCATGGTCATCTCCGTGCTGCTGGCCGTGCTGGCCCTGCTGGTGAGCATCGTGGGCGCCAAGTGCACCAACTGCGTGGAGGACGAAGGCGCCAAGGCCCGCATCATGATCATCTCCGGAGCCGTGTTCGTGGTGTCGGGCATCCTGTGCCTCATCCCCGTCTGCTGGTCGGCCAACACCATCATCCGGGATTTCTACAACCCGCTGGTGTCCGAGGCCCTGAAGCGGGAGCTGGGGGCGGCCCTGTACGTTGGCTGGGCAGCTGCGGTCCTGCTGCTCCTCGGGGGGGCCCTGCTTTGCTGCTCCTGCCCACCCCGCTCGGAGAGATACCCGCCCCGGGTTGGCTACATGGGAGCTGGGAGGTCCGGAGTGGGCAGCGGGGTGGACAAGAGGGACTATGTCTGAGGGGAGCAGAGGGGACTGGCTGGCTGAGCAGGGAGTGAAGGGAAAGTACAGAGAAGGGATAAACGCCCCAATGACTGAACAAGGGGCTGAGAGAATAAAGCCGTGCCGAGGGGAGAGGGTGAGTCAGGGAGGGAGCAAAGAATGTGGAAGGAGACGCGTGGCCAACGGAGCGAGGGGATGCAGAGGAACGGGCAGCTGGCTGGGTACGGAAGGAGGGAGAAGCGGACTGAACCAAAGCCCAGGTAAAGGGACAAAGGAATGTGGGGGGGAGGGTGCAAGCGATGGACAAGAGCGCCAGCGAGTGAGGGGAGAGCCAGGGAAGGAAGGAGAAAACAAATGGGGAGAGCGCGAACAGGACCAAAAGGGAGGACTACAGGAGCCCCGTGCGAAAGGTGGAGCCGGCAGGGAGAACGAAGAACCAACAGACAACGGGGAAGCAGGACAGACACCGTGCCCAGGACAGGATCGGTGGCTGCTGGTGGAGCTGACTGGACAGAGGACAAGTTGAGGGGCTAGGCCAGGGAGCCATGACCCCGTGGAGCCTGGCTGGACCTCACTCTGGCTCTGTTTGCTCAAAGGTTAATGATTGTCCCAGCTCCCTGAACTGAGACCTGCTAAGCCATCACCTGGAACATGGACCCTGGGCTGTCTCAGGGTCGGTCTCTGGCCGTTCCAGCAGTCCCCAAGACTTTGGGGTCTCACCCCGTCCACTGATAGATTCGGTCGTTGGTGAGTGGGATTTGGGAGTTCAAGGCATGGGGCTGAGCAGGCTTCTCTGGTGCACACTGCTCCCCACAATGCATGCAGGGACTCAGCCCGTTTACCGTGACATTATGGAGATAAAAGAGCCAGTGGGTCGGTCTCTGGCCGTTCCAGCAGTCCCCAAGACTTTGGGGTCTCACCCCGTCCACTGATAGATTCGGTCGTTGGTGAGTGGGATTTGGGAGTTCAAGGCATGGGGCTGAGCAGGCTTCTCTGGTGCACACTGCTCCCCACAATGCATGCAGGGACTCAGCCCGTTTACCGTGACATTATGGAGATAAAAGAGCCAGTCTA